GGAGGTGGGAGGTGGTACACCCTTGTCCTCGTAAGTCCCCTCATTAAAAGCAGTCTGAGCGAGCCGGAGGGCGAGCGCGAACACACACACTCACACACGTACACAACACACAGACCTACACACAGCCTCGCACACGCTCACATTCTTGGTTGAGCTTCATTCAAATGAGGCGATTTAACTGCTGAGGTTAACACAGTGCTGAGCGGGAGCCATGTATTTTCTCAGGCAGGACAAATCAACTTGGTTAACAGGTGGGACAATTTGCTGAATTTATTCTCCTCTTCGTGTTCTGTCATCCAAGATGCATCCGTGTTAACGTTCCTCAGCTCGTCAGCTAGATAAATTAAATCCAGCAAAGTTTTTATTTTTTTCAATTAAGACAGGTGAAAGACCACTAGTTTTTTGTCTTCTTGTCTAATTTTAAACGTAAAGCAGGCGCTTCAGGTTAAACAGAGTTTTGTTTCTGACCGTGCTTTTTCTCTTGGCCAGTTTTGCTTCTCGACTTAGTCTGTGGAGGTGGTTAGTAGGTAGGCTGGTACTAAGTGTGTGTTGTATACGTGAGGACGGTGTGCAAAGCTGAAAGCCGGTTACCTAAAAGGGCTATGCCAGGCCAGGCCAAAGTGGGTTAATAAAAATAACCAGCGTAGGAGAAGCGACAATCCAGCAGTGCAAGGCAGAGGAGTTGGAGTGATGCAGAAAGCGGAGAGACGGAGTGGAGGAATCTGACTCTGGTGGTTTCACCTGAGATTAAGTCTTTGTCGTGGTAAAAGCTGAACTCCCCGTCAGATTCAGTTTTTATTAATGGGTTTTTAATTCTTCTTTGTTTTATTTCAGCTCCTTTTTATTTATTTGAAGTAACTTAAAATATTATTAAAATAATTTAATTCTTGTCATTGTTGATTTAATTGTATTTGAATTATTGTAAAAAATTACAAAGACAAGTACGCATTTTCCTTTTAGTTAAATTTTTATATATTAATATATATTTAGTGTGCTTTATTGCTCGTTCACTGATCTACCTTTTGCTGTGTTTCTTGTGCTTGTTGTAAATGTGTTTTATTTCTTTCAGTGTCTTGTATCATATCTGCTGTTGGCATTTGTCCTTTCATTTATATCTCTGATTTATTTTTTCCCTTTTTTATTCCACTTATTTATAATTTTATGCATTAAACTCTCAACAGCTATCCAGTCATTATAAGAATGTTGTGGTAAAATTTGAGTTTAGCTTAAATTTGAATCTGTCGTATTTTTAAAATCATTTGTTTTGCCTGCCGTTTCAGTTTCTTTTTTTGCAAGCATCACTCGACGCTCACGTTTACCTCTGTGTCTTTGTGTGACTTCAGGTTATGAGGACRGCAGGATGGAGTTCCCAGACCACAGCAGACATTTACTCCAGTGTCTGAGCGAGCAGCGGCACCAGGGCTTCCTGTGTGACTCCACGGTGCTGGTGGGCGATGCTCAGTTCCGCGCCCACCGGGCCGTGTTGGCCTCCTGCAGCATGTACTTTCACCTCTTCTACAAGGACCAGTTGGACAAGAGAGACGTGGTGCACCTCAACAGTGACATTGTGACGGCGCCGGCCTTCTCCCTGCTACTGGAGTTCATGTACGAGGGCAAGCTGCAGTTCCAGGACCTTCCCGTAGAGGATGTGCTAGCGGCGGCGAGCTATCTGCACATGTATGACATTGTCAAGGTGTGCAAGAAGCGTTTAAAGCAGAAGGCCACAACGGAGGCAGACAGCACGCGCAGAGAGGACGACGGCGGGTCCAGCTGCTCTGACAAGGCCGACAGTCTATCAGAAGGATCCACGGGTCGGCCTGCCTCTGCCGACCTGCTTCACAGCGATGAAGAAGAGGAGGGCAAGGCTGAGGGAGGTCCACTGTGGCTGAGGCTGCCGTCCGCGGACAGACCCGTGACCCCAGGCGTGGCCAAAACCAGCCCAGGGCACGGCGAGCCTGAAATTCAGGCAGGCGAGGGCCTCGGGGAGGGAGCAAAGGTGCTTTCCCCGGCCGGCAGCCCCAGCAGCTCCACTGGATCCCTCTCCCAGAGGTCCCACCGCTCTGTGAGTTCTCGTGGAGGGCACAGAGGTAGGAGGGTGTCCAACGACGCAGCTGACTGCGTCCTGGATCTGTCAGTGAAGCCGATTGCCGGAAGCAACCACACCAACCACCATCAGTCATTTTTCAGTGGGGCAGCAACGCCGGACAGCCTGCAGAACCCCTTGGCTGTGAGGGTGAAGGTGGAGAGGGGTGTAAATTCAGACGAGGAGGAGGATTTGGGGGGTGGGGACTATGACATGGAGCACAGCGGCCTCACTAAAACCCCAGTCCCCAGCACTAACGGAGGCCTGAGCCACCACGGGGTTGGTGGGCCTCTGTCGGCCCAGCGAAGGCTCGGGCTGGAGGCGCACCTGTCTGCCCTGCGAGAAGCGTCTCTGGCCTCCGAGCTGGAGCGGGACGAGAAGCCTCCAGCCTCGGCGGACGACGAGGACATACTGGGAGGAGAGAACGAGCGCGCCCAGGCCGAGGTGGCCAGCATGGATACCTCGCTACTGCCTTACGTCTCCAACATGCTGTCGGCGCAGCACACCCAGATATTCATGTGTCCGCTGTGCAACAAGGTGTTCCCCTCCCCGCACATCCTCCAGCTCCACCTCAGCTCCCACTTCAGGGAGCAGGAGGGCATCCGCTCCAAGCCCGCCGGAGACGTCAACGTGCCCACCTGCACCATCTGCAGCAAAACCTTCTCCTGCATGTACACTCTGAAGCGCCAYGAGCGGACTCACTCCGGCGAAAAGCCCTACACCTGCACCACCTGTGGCAAGAGCTTCCAGTACTCTCACAACCTCAGCCGCCACGCAGTGGTGCACACGCGGGAGAAGCCGCACGCTTGCAAGTGGTGCGAGAGGCGCTTCACGCAATCCGGGGACCTCTACCGACACATCCGCAAGTTCCACTGCGAACTGGTCAACTCGCTGTCAGTCAAGAGTGAACCGCTGGCGCTGCCCAATGTCAGGGACTGGGCGATTGAGGACAGCTCCCAGGAACTGTGGAAGTAGAAACAGACTGATGATGAAGGGAAGGAGATGGAGGGTAAAAAAAGAATAAAAGAGAAGGGCAGAGATGTTTGAGGAGGTGAAAGGCAGGTGGAAGAGTTTGTTAGTTGGGGTTTAAGTGAATCTTGTTCTTATTTGTTGCAACATCTCATTCAACTGCACTTTAATAGCACATGAAAATGTTACTACTGAGTTATTTTGTTGGTATTTGGGATATTAATTTTTTAATGTATTTTATTCTGAACTCCTATAATTTGGCATTAGTTCTCCTCTGTTTGTGGTTTTTATTTTGTGTCTGAGGACATGGGGTTCCCAACGAGAATGTCTCTGCTTTTTTTTTTTTAATCGTCTTCACCCTGTTTATGTTTGACCCCAGAAACAACACTCCGCCGCCAGCCAGCGTATCAGTCCCCGGGCCACAGACAGCATGCACCACTGCAGGAGTTCAGGTCGAACACACTGAAGTGAAAAAAGCGTTAATATACACTAAACGGGTACTGAGATCCCCACGAACTGAACACGTGTGATTCTGCACTACTCTGGCAAAAATTTCACCTGACGTGTGTGTGTGTGTGTGTGTGTGTGTATGAGTGTTATTTTTTTATTTTTTTTATTTTCTACTTGCATGAAGGTGTTGTTGGCGAGGCGCTCCCCACTTCTGTTAAGCTCTTTGGTGGTGTGTGTTCAGGGGAAAGCTGACTGACAAGCAAACTGAAGGCACTCATTCAATGCACAGCCTCCTTTTTTCACTTCCAATCAATCTGAAGTATTTTCTAAAAAAGTGAGAAGACCTTTACAAATTATTATTATTATTATTATTATTAATAGATTTTTTTTCCCTTAAATCTAGCTGGCAGTCTTTAAAACATTTCTTGTTGTAAAGGTATTTAATTTAAGGTTGTTGTATATTGTTCTGTTATAGTTTTAAGACTTTATTCATTACATTTTTTAACTTAATGATTAATATTATTATTATTATTTTGTTACTTTATTTTGTAATGGGACCTGCTGTTGTTGCATGACGTCCAAACCTGTATATTTTAAACTGAAAATGTGAATTTGCTGTATTACTGTACACATTGTAATTGATCAAATATCTGATGACGGGCTTTTCCTTTTTTTCTTCTCCTTTTCTTTTTTGTTAAATTTTTTGTGAATACTACTCCAGGGTGCGGTCTGTTGAAAAGATGAATACTATTCTCATGACTATGGGGAAGAAAAAATGCATGAACATTTGATTTCATCTTAAACCTTTTAAGTTGTTTCTGCATTGAAGAGGGGGGGATTGTTTGAACAGCAAACTCCTGACAATGAAGGGTTGTTTTCTACTCTCGCTCAGCTCCCGGAGGGACGTTACAGAACGCGTTTCTGTCGGATGTGAAAGCAAAACGATGAAGCATTTTAAGCCTGTGTCTTTATGCACTGATTTTTCTCTGCTGTGAGTGTGTGTGTGTGTGTGTGTTTTCGAGTGTGTGACTTGGTTAGTACCAGTAAATTTAGCCTACTGAGGATCTACATCCACCCAGCACTTCGTCTTCTTGCTCCTCCTCAGGCGTTAAATGTCCCCCCACCTCTTCCTCCTCACGTAGGCCCTACCTTTTTTCTGAACACAGTCAAGCCATTTCTAATTATCTCTGCGGATTCGGCCTCTTATTTTTGGTCCAATCGAGTGCAGTTTGTGTGGCCAGGCTGAGGCGAGAAGGCTGCAGGTGGAAACCTCAGCCTGAGCTCTCCTGCTGAAAGTTGAAAGGTCAGACGCGTCTGTCACCTCGTTGCTTCGCGTCGAGCCGAGGCTGAGGCGTCGCTCTGCTCATTACACGACACCTGTGTGGGTTTTTGTAAATAGATAGGGGAGAATTGGCCTAGCTGAAAGCACCTTTGCTGAAAAGATGCCTTTTATTAATAAAAAAAAAAAATTCTAATGCTAAGTAGTATTCAATACTGTAAAGCATTAAGAAATGGTTCTTGAAATTGTGTAAATTCATGGAATTTATTGACTTTATCAGACAAATATTGTCTTATTATATTTTGATTATATAATTGGAAAACCTTTTTTGTGTGTCTCTATGTAAATGTTGGGTTGAGGCTACATCAGTTTGACAATTTTGTGTTGAATTTAAAAAAAAAGAAAAGATGGTCAAGCGTTTATACAATCCCAGGAACATTTGGCAGAGATCCGGACGCTCCACATTTCCTCCTCTCTCAGATATGTGTGTTTGCATGCCCCGTCATCTGGTAGCACCTGCAGGCTTTGCCAACGCAACAGTGTGGGTGACATTGCAGCAGTTTGCACCACATCTTCTCGTTTTGGTCTTGAAATGTTATTTCTTCACTGGCAGCGCCTCTGCATATGGGCTCCCTCCATCCTGCTGTTGTTTTCATCGCTACTGCTGTTTTATTTATTTATTATTATTATTTTAAAATGTTCTGTTCTCATGGTTGTGCTTGACCGCCTTAAACTGCTGTACTCCGGGTTTTCTATTTTGGTTTTTTATTTAAGATGTTTTTGTTTTAAAGTGTGAGTGTCGGGTGGAGTTGTCCACCGTTCTGTGAAGTAATCGCCCTGACATGACATCTCCATCTTTTTTGCTGTGCTTACTTGAAGGGGGGAGACTTTTTTTGTAAAGCAAAGTTTGGGGTAAAATTAAAAAAGAAGAAGAAAAAAGTCATAGACAGTTTATAGAAAGGGTTAAGGGGGGAGGGTGGTGCTTAAAATGACTGAGTTTTTTTTTTTTTTTTTTGAAAAAGGACAATCACTGTCTTAGGGGAAAAATAAACAAGCAGATTTTGATTGAGATCTATTTGCTCCCTGTTGAGATTACAAGTTTTATTTTAATTTTAAGTTCTTGTTTTCAGATTTAGTCATTTTTAGCTTTGACAATCATAGTTCGGTTGTTTGTTTTTTTTCTCTCAAGGGGAGTAAATTCTAATTGTATTTAGTTTTGTAATTTTTTGGTGTGCTGTTGTTGACATTTTTAAATTGTGTGCAAACTGCAATAAATTATAAGAATCTTGAAATTCCRCTTCCTGTGTGTGAGAGGTTTATTTTCCATTAAATAAATGAAAAGCTCCACATTTTCCTCATCGCTTTAAGTTCGTGTCTGCACTCTGTGTTGTGCTGCAGAAGGGACCCAGCGGGAGGTCCTGGCCTCCTGTCCTTCTGTCACTTGTGATGTGGGTGGAAGTTGTGTACGTGTGTGTGTGTGTGTGTGTTTATAGGAAGCTCCGCAGTGATTCGTGCTGGAACGTACAACAGCCTGCAAAAGCTCCATGTGTGCTCACACAACTCCTCATATATCTGCAGCACTTACATTAAGGAAGAAAATGTACAGGAGAGTGGAGATGTTATCCTACTGCACCTACACACCTACTATGTCTCTCTATCCTTGTGGGGACTTTCCATTGACTTCCATTCATTTATTTGGAAATTTTTTAACCTAACCCTGACCATTTACCCTAAAATTAACCTCACAGGTACCTTCCTGACCCTAAAACTAACCTAAACTCAATTCACACCTTGGTCCTAAACC